ATTCATGCATCGCAGGCTCTAGTGGCTGTAAGTGAGGTGATCAATGAAATAAGAGATGCGAACCCAGATTTTGATCTTCCTGATATAAAGCCAACAGACCATACTAGGTTCCTGGTTCTGTCCCTGGGCACCGGTTCATCGAAATCAGAGAAAAAGTACAGCGCCAAGAAAGCATCGAAATGGGGTGTGCTCGGTTGGCTCACCAACGGTGGTTCGACTCCATTAGTTGACGTCTTCACACAAGCAAGTGCGGACATGGTGGATATTCATCTCTCCACTGTATTCCAGTCTCTTAAATGTGAAAATTACCTTCGCATTCAGGTGACACACTGTCTGATTTTCATTCAAGAGTGATATTGTACCAACACCGGAATTCTAAATCGAAATATTATACCGACAAAAAAAAACCTACCTTGAAAGAAAATTAACGGTCCTTTTTTTTTAATGAATATACAACATTCAATAAGTGTAATCTGAAAAAGACAAGGTAAAAAATGATGCAGGATGATACATTGATGGGAGAAGTGGCTACGGTTGATAAGGCCACAAGGAAGAACTTGGAGAATATTGTGAAGGTTGGAGAGGCATTGTTGAAGAAACCAGTGTCAAGGGTGAACTTGGACAATGGGGTCTTTGAGCCTTTAAATCAGGGTTCAAACGAAGAGGCTCTCAAAAGGTATTTGTTTAAATGGCTGCCTAATTTAATTTATTAACGAATTTTTAGTGACATAATTGATTTTTCCATCGATAATCAATTACATATTCGTTGATCTCTTCTTCTGTTTCTTGTTACCTTCTGAACATAGGCTAGCGGGACTGCTGTCCGAGGAGAAGCAGCTCCGCCGAGGAAAATTGTCTCATTTCACTAGATGAAATCAGCCGTTTATCAAGAATCAGTGGGACTCCCATGAAAAGAACCTCAGTTCAAGTTTTGGCGAGACGCGACAGGGGCATGCATCCATCCGGAACTCGACCTTTTTTTTTTTTATGGTTGTTGGCTTTAGTTTATTGTCTGTTGAGGTCATTTTCTTTCCAAGGTTGCTCGGTGAATAGGTTGAGTTTGGAGCAGCAAATCTTGTTTTATTCTACGAGAACCTTGAGTATTTGTAGATTTGGTTCATCCGAACAGCAAACTTCAGAGTTCGTCCCACTTAATTAGGAAGTGTGTTCGCCTTGTTTAAGGCCTCATTTTGATTGCCACAATTGTGTATTTTCTTGAGGCCAATCCTTCGAGCCCAGACCCCCGTGATCTGAATATAATCACACTCATTAGAGACTAATTGAATGTTCAGAGAGTTCAAAGCACCATATAGTTATAAAGGAAATGTAACTAAAATTATGGTGGCTCTTTTATTAAAAAATGGGGGAAAACGCGGAAGTTCTCTTACACAGTTTGAATTTGCCTAGGTGATGGTTTATCGATTCATATATAAGTACACAACTGAGATGCATTGTGAGATCATCTTGACTAATTAACTTTCTTGTACGATCTTAAGGACGTATTCTGTTATGTTAGACTGGTGCATTTAGAATTTTGTTCTTGGAGTACTTCCAAGAAGGCTTGAACGGAAGATCATGAGAAGATGAGCAAACTCCCTTGCCATCTAATCTAACACATTGTTAGTACACAAAGTCAAACTGCATCTTACAACAACTTGGTTTTTAGATAGTTTTGGAGTGGCAAAAAGAGCATATTCTGATTAAGCCCATCTCCCAGTTGGACTCACAATGCCCAGCTTTACTTATGGAATTTCTATCAGTTCTATTGTACGCGGTCATCGTTGGATACTCCCAACAATTAGGAGTCGTAGCCACTAGCAAGAGAAGACCAATACCTTATTTGAATGTGATTCAGACAAAACAAAAAGGAGGGAAATCACGAAAAGGCAATTGCTGACTCTTAATAAGTTCAATCACTGTTTTTTCAGAAAATCACTGCAAGTTTTTTCAGACTGTTTGCACCAAAATTTAGCCAAGTCATTGATATGAATAGGGGCGTGACCAGAGGGCAGGCCATTATTAAATATGCGATTCTAAACTAGAAAAAAATCTATCTTAACATGTAATGTAATTTTTTTGGTATTTTTCATCATATGAAAATTAACTTCTGACCAAAGTAAAAATCATATGAAAATTAACTAAATTAAAGACATGCAATATAAACTCACCTATCAAATATTCACCAAGCCCAAAAACAGGAAATCCAAATAATCAAGAATCCGATCTAACGTCTAGCAGCTCGGATTCTAGATTATTGGGATTTTCATAGCAGGAATTCTCCTTATTGGAATATGCCTAAAAATCTCAAAACAAATCAAATTAGAATTGAATAGATCTTAGGCTGCGTTTGGTCGTCTGGATTTCTACCTAGGATATGACTGGATAGGATATGATATGAAATCCAAGGGATTTGCTATATCCTATTTACTGTTTGGTGAATCGTGAAAATAAAGCCGGATATTTTCACATCTTACCATGTCCATTATTTGCTATGAACGTCATATCAGTGTAAATAAACCTAAAAATTACACAAACGAAGATGATAAAAATCTCTTACGACACTCTTACCTACTTCATTTTTATTCGCTTATTTTTTTTTATCATTTTTCCATCTTTTTTAATTTTTTAATTTCTTTTTTCCCCTTCCATCATTCTCTAATAAAATTTTATTAAATAGTAAACTATACTAATATTTCTAAAATATTTAATAAATATAAATACATTAATATTGATTTATTTATATCAAATTTATATCACAAGATATAATTTTTTTTGAATATATAAATAAAAATAAGAATAAATAAAAACGAAATTATTTTTATTTTTTTGTTATTTTGAATTTTTTATATTAAAATTCAAATATTATTTATATTCAAATATTATTTTAATTTTATTAATTTAACAAGTTTGTTATTCGAGAAAATTAACTTTTATATTATGGTTATTAGAAATTCTATCCACCTTTATCCCACCTCCCCCATGGGATAATTTTATCCGGGCTATGTCTCTCCTATATCCGACTTTATCCTATCTTGGGCAAACACCAAACACAGGATAGGATAAAATTTATCCTATCCTAAATTTTATCCCGACGACCAAACGTAGCCTAAGGGTTCGTTTTTTTGTGGAAAATATGCATTTTGAAAAATATTTTCCTAAAAGTGATTGGTTATATCGCTTGTATTAATTAGCCAATAAATAATATTTTTATTATTGACAATAATTTATGCCTAAACATTTTCGTGGACAATAAAAATATTTTTCATCCATTCATTGTTGTAAGCAAAAAAAAGTGATCGTTTTTAGGAAAATGTTTTCCAAATGTTCATTTTTCGTAAAACAAACGGACCCTAAATTAGGCAATTAAAATATTCACTTGAGCACAGTTTAAGAAATTACCACAAATTGAACCCATTATATTGATTCTACAAGCACGAGCAGATTATGAGATCAAACCCTTGAAGCTCACATGCCAAGTTCATGACTTTCTTTTCTACTGTAAATGGCCTTAATGAATCAAAGATAGATTAGATCAACTTCCACTTGTAAACACATCAAAACCAATCTCGATCTTTACCAATTGAAGAGAGAACACGATATAATCGAAATCAACGATGGTCTATCTCGGATGAGTTTTGGAACAGCGAGGTGGTAGTGCTCGGTTCCTTCGCCTAGCCTGCTAGTGCCGTTTGGAAGACGCCGGAAAAGCCGGGAAGCTCGCTGGGACTTACTGGTCGTCAGTCTGGGCAGGTGGGCAATGACAAAGAACGAAGTGGGTTGTGTTTTTTTTAAAGAAGAAAAGAAAAAAATAAAAATAATTTTATTAAAAAGGAGTGCGCGGAGGAGAACATGTTTGGTCCGGGTGAAAGAAAGAGGAGGGAAAGTCATTTTCCCCTCTTTTGAAGGTGTTTTTTCCGATGTTTTCCTTGACCCGTGTATTTTCTGTGAATCAAATGCCGGCAAATCCGGAAAACCTTTTTCTGGAAGTTATTTTCCGTGAAACAAACAGACATGATACGTTTTGTTTCCCTCCTGGTGCAGATAGCATATTCTATGAGCCCACCTTGGCTTCACTCTGGTTAGTATAGCTGCTTTCATATATTAAAAGGCACCGTTGTTTCACCTCTTTGAAGCTGTTGAGACATCTGAGGGGCTACATCTGAGTGACGAAACTGACTAGTTACTCATTTTCAGGTCTCCCAGCAGGCTGATAAATCAGACTCTGTGATGTGTGCGAGTCTATGCGGGTTACATACATATACATCTATCTTCTAAAATGAGTTATTTCCTGTTTGTCAGAGCCTCCTGACATAACAAATTGGTTCTCAAGCTATGTCTACGAATCTCCACAGCTAAGCACATTCCCAGGATCTCCTGTTGAGGAAAATGGTGATGGGAGAGATGATTTGATTCTTTAGAAGGTTATTTGGAGAAAAAGAAGACAATTGGCATAACTATTCAGGCAATAGAGTAGACGGGGACACGGTATCAACGAACAGTCGAACTCTGCCCTTTGTAGCAGCTCTCATGAAGTTCTCGAGCATGAATATCAGCACACTCAGGACGAGGTAAATCTTTGTTTTTTCCCTTGTTCCTTCAGTATATGGATGTTTAGGAAGTACAGCTTACTCTTGATGTTATACAGGTCTCACTATCTTATGAGACCTGTATAATATACTAGTTCGATGGCATTATACTAGCTTGACGCTGGGACTGATTGCCACAGGTAAAGTTCCATTTGCAACACTTAGAAGTCCTTTCTGTTTCAATCATGAACAGGAGTCTGAGCATCAGTTTTAACCACCAGATGAGCATGACTAACGATGAAACGGGCGGCAGTCATTTAGATTCAAAGATCGTATTCCCTTCCGAGCAAAGGAGGAGCAAATCATCTGAATTTCATTGGAATAGAAACATTAATTTAGATGCATGTAAAGTAATCAAGACAATTCAAACACACTAAGAACAAGCCACCAAACCAGCAAATGGCACAAGGCTTCCTACTCAGAGAAAAAAACGTTGAAATGCAAAATGGTGTCCACTCCATCTGTTGTGTGCTGATCTTCCTGAGGAAGTGTCTCAACAGTGGCATAACCTTTAGCGTGCTCGTATTTTCCCGTCCCGCCGACAATTGCGACCTGAGACTCCACTGAAGCTGTGCGGTGGACCCCAAAGAAACTGATGGTATCGTCTATTTCATGGTCGCTGCCAGGGAACAACACCGTCAATGCCATTGTGTGGCTAGTGCCGTCCAAGGAGCTAGCCAAATAGAACCCTTGTGCCTTGCCAAGTACGGAGGAGCCCAACTCGTGCCCTTCGGTCAACTCGTTGTCGATCACTGTGATTGTCCCAAACATGAGCTGCTGAAGCGTGGCCCCAGCAGGGAGCTGCCCGGCGGTGATGAATGGCTGGTTGTTGCCGCCTGAGACTTGGTTGTTGTTGCCACTGTTCTGAATAATGGTGTTCGCTTGCCCGCCATTGAGGCCAGTGAGGCTAGGGAGGTTATTGTTGTTGATCAGTCCGTTGAGGTTGCTGTTGACCAACGGGACCCCGCCGTTGATGGGGAAGATGTTGTTGTTGGGCTTAGAGAACGGGAGGCCATTGGCGCCCGAATTGGCTATAATTCCCGTCACCACTCTGGACGACGGGTGCGATCCGCCCAATATGTCATGCATAAAGAAGGATAACTGAGGGCCGGCACCGGGCTTTGCTGCCACAGCAGTAGTGGTAGCGACCGTGGTGGCCCCACCTGGTGCTGGAATTGTCACAGTCGGTGCCACGTTGGCGACGGGCGTTGCCACGATGCTAGGTGCTTCAGGTTCAGGCGCATTGGTGTCTTCCGGGGCTGCAGGGGCCACCTCAGCAACGGGTCCAGCAGTGTCGTCGTTGTCAGGGAGAGGAGAGTCCGTGCTCTCATCCACTGTGGCAGGGGCAGCGACGGGGACTCCACCGCCTGGTAACGTGTTGGCGGGGCCGGCCACATTGGGGACAAGTGCCCTGCCGGGATTGGTTGGTCCAAGAGGACCGGTGATGATCTGAGGTTGAGGGTCGACCTCATCAAGGTTCCTTGCCGAGCGGGCGCATCCAATGGCGATGATCAGGAACAGAAGGCAAGTGATGGCCTTGGAACTGAACAGAAGAGAAGTAGTCATCACTTTGATGTGTAGAGAGCCCAGAATCAGAGAACTGTACTTCAAAAGAAAGCAGGTGAAGACTGGAGATTCTTTGCTGTGGATGAATGTTACATTGTGAGCCATTGGGGATTATATAGAGAGAGAGACAGCTCTCAGAATGTCTCAAATCACAGAATATGGAGCTGATGGAAGTGGAGTCGTTCAGTAACCTCTCCAGCAGCAAGAGAGTGGATTGGTTAGGAACCTCACCAACTAACCCTGTATCTGAGAGGATTGAAGAGGAGACATCTCAAAGCAGAAGCTTTTTGCAGAGTTTGGTCTTATTTAGTTCTGACATTAGACTTAATGTAATCATATGATATAAAATTGTTCTGGCAAGGACCTTCCTTCTATCTTGGTTCTATTGCATGAAAATGGGCACTTCTTGCTTTCACCCACTCCAAACCGGTTCCATGCATTTTATGGCAAGAAAGCTTCAGTGAGTGGTGAGATTAATATAGAGATCAGAGGCTGAATTCATCCTTGATGTCTCAAGGTAATCCCAATCTTGAATTCATACAATAACTCATACTGAATTTCCTTACAATAAATTTCCTTGTTGGTAGAATCCCAATCTGGCTGGTAGTTTTCCAATCATGCCGGTAGAAAAATATGATCGGGAAGTCGCTTGCCGGTTAAACAGGTTGTAATGTGCCAATATTGTCCGAAATTTACCACCATTCTAATGCAATAGGAAATTGCTAACTCTTCTAAAACTTTATGAGTCTCGTAAGCATATTACCAATAATATCGGGAGTTTACCGATATTCCAATGGAATAGTAAATTACCAATTCCTTTAAAACTTTATCAGTGTCGTGCGTAAATTACCAACGCTATCAAGAATTACAAATATACCAATTATGTAGTAAATTATTGACTGATCGGAAATTTTACCATATTGATAAGTAAACTACGAAGATTATCAGGAACTTACTTAGTATACTTACATGATAATGAAATAGTAAATCACCAACTATTCTGAAAAGCTATGGGTGTGGTAAGTAAATTACCAATACTATCATCAATTTACGCAAATTCAAATAAACAGTACATTACCAACTCATCTGAAATTTTGTCAGTATCGTAGGTAATTGATCGATACTGCAATGAATTTACTATCATTACAATAAAGTAATAACTTATGAAGGGAATAACAATTTTTTTTTAACTACAAGGAAATTCCTAAAATAAATGCGATCTAAATTTATTATGATTGTAATAATCGAAAGAATTCTTATAAGCAATCTTTAAATGAAAATGGAGAAATTCTGTCTTTCAGGTTGTGAGTTAAAGTTATGATTATAAAATCTAAAAGCTGTTTACTTTTTTTTTTAAGGTAGTTTGAGGTACCTTATTTTCAATCTAGACTGGATAATAATGATGGCATCATTACAGATAATAACATTAGACCTGATCGTTGATCTAACAGTCTGCAAGCCCACTCAAAACACATTACTCAAAACACATTTGGTCGACCTTGGACAATGGCATTTAGTGAGAAAATTTGGTCCCTCTCGACCCGAAAATTTCCGTATCAAACATTTATGATAGGTGTGCATTGGTAAAAAATGTGGGCCCACCCTGAGTCCTAGCTTGGGTATAGTCTGCCCAACGATCACTTCTAAATGGAATCGATGTTCACGGGATTATCAATTTAAGCAGGGCACACCTGCACTCGTAGACCGGATAAAAATCAGGATAGGATATATTTTATTATATCCTGTGTTTGGTGATGGTCCAGGATAAGATAAGATCGGATATAAACCGGATATAGCCCGGATAAAAAAATCCGGGGGAGAAGGTGGGATAGACCCGGATAGGATTTCTAATGCCTATTTTTCCAGAAACCCTACACTCCACTCGCCGTCACCTTCATCCCCACGCCTTGTGCGCTTTCACCAAAAAAATTTCTCGGCTTTTTTTCCTTCACCGACTCCTCCGGACCCATGAATAGCAAAAAATAAAAATAAAAATTATCCTATCCGACTTTAAATCCGTAATCCACCAAACAGTGAACGGGATATGAAGAAATCCCAAGATTTCTTATCCTATCCTATCCAGCCCTATCCTATTTAGAAATCCGGACGACCAAACGCAGCCTATGTAATTTCAAACGAAAATGTGCCGGAAGTAAATAAACTTTCATTAAAAAATTATATTACACAAATTACATTTATCACAAAGATCATTTGTGTCATTATTCTTACGGCGAGAGACGGTGGATCTCACAAGAAAGAAAGGAAAGAAAGAGTGAAATTCCCTCCTAGCTTTTCTTTACTTCCCCACACGATCGAACGGTGGCGAAGAGGATCCCCGCGCGGTCAATCCATCTTGACCAAACCTCAGCCATCCGATCAAAGGACCGAGGCGGTGCGACTTCCTTCCCCAAAAAATCCTCGCCGAGCAAAACCCTAAAACTCTCTTCTTCCACCTTCACTCCTCCCACTGCAGAAACCTGAACATGTCGAGCACCTAAGCACCTCCCTCCCTCCCTCTCTCTCTCTCTCTCTCTCTCTCTCTCTCTCTACACCAGCTCTTCCTGAGGACGGGCCTTCACCATGTACCTCTACAGCCTCACCCTGCAGAAGGCCACCGGCGTCGTCTGCGCCATCAACGGCAGCTTCTCCGGCGGCAGCAAGTCCCACGAGATCGTCGTCGCCCGCGGCAAGATCCTCGACCTCCTCCGCGCCGACGAGGACGGCGGCAAGATCCAGACCGTCCTCTCCGTCGAGGTCTTCGGCGCCGTCCGCTCCCTCGCCCAGTTCCGCCTCACCGGCGCCCAGAAGGACTACATCGTCGTCGGGTCCGATTCGGGCCGCATCGTCATACTGGAGTTCAACAGGGAGAAGAACGTGTTCGACAAGGTCCACCAGGAGACCTTCGGTAAGTCCGGGTGCCGGCGGATCGTGCCCGGCCAGTACCTCGCCATCGACCCTAAGGGAAGGGCAGTCATGATTGGGGCCTGCGAGAAGCAGAAGCTTGTTTATGTCTTGAATAGAGATACGGCGGCTAGGTTGACGATATCGTCGCCTCTAGAGGCGCATAAGTCGCACACCATAACGTACTCGATTTGTGGGGTGGATTGCGGGTTCGATAACCCGATATTCGCCGCGATTGAGCTGGATTACTCGGAGGCCGACCAAGATTCGACCGGCCAGGCGGCGAGTGAGGCGCAAAAGCACTTGACTTTTTATGAGCTTGATTTGGGGCTTAACCATGTATCGAGAAAATGGTCGGAGGCCGTCGATAACGGCGCTAACATGCTCGTTACTGTGCCCGGAGGAGGCGATGGGCCTAGCGGAGTGTTGGTGTGTGCGGAGAATTTCGTAATTTATAAGAACCAGGGTCACCCGGATGTCCGCGCAGTTATTCCGAGACGAGCTGACTTGCCGGCAGAACGCGGTGTGCTGATTGTCTCGGCTGCTACGCACAAGCAGAAGTCCATGTTTTTCTTCCTTTTGCAGACGGAGTATGGGGATATATTTAAGGCCACGTTGGAGCATGACGGCGAACATGTTCAGGAGCTGAAGATCAAGTATTTCGATACAATTCCTGTTACTTCTTCCATGTGCGTTTTGAAATCAGGTTTTCTGTTTGCAGCATCCGAGTTTGGAAACCATGCTCTGTATCAGTTCCAGGCGATAGGTGAAGAAGCTGATGTGGAGGCTTCATCGGCTACGCTAATGGAAACTGAAGAAGGTTTCCAGCCCGTGTTTTTTCAGCCTAGAGGCCTTAAAAATATTGTAAGGGTCGACCAGGTCGAGAGCTTGATGCCCATAATGGACATGAAGGTAGAAAATCTATTTGAGGAAGAAACGCCTCAGATATACACATTATGTGGTCGGGGTCCTCGATCTTCTTTGAGGATACTAAGGCCGGGTTTGGCCATTAGTGAAATGGCCGTTTCACAGCTTCCTGGTGTACCGAGTGCTGTTTGGACCGTGAAGAAGAATGTAATTGATGGGTTTGATGCGTACATTGTTGTGTCATTTGCAAATGCAACTCTTGTGCTTTCGATTGGTGAGACAGTCGAAGAAGTAAGTGACAGTGGGTTTCTTGATACTACACCGTCCCTTGCGGTGTCCCTCATTGGCGATGATTCTTTAATGCAAGTTCACCCCAGCGGTATCAGACATATCAGGGAAGATGGTCGTATTAATGAATGGAGAACTCCTGGCAAGAGGACTATTGTGAAGGTTGGTTCTAACAGACTACAAGTGGTGATTGCTCTCAGTGGAGGCGAGCTTATATACTTCGAGGTGGATATGACTGGTCAGTTAATGGAGGTAGAGAAGCATGAAATGTCTGGAGATGTGGCTTGCTTGGACATCGCCCCTGTACCAGAAGGAAGGCAAAGATCTCGTTTTCTTGCAGTCGGTTCATATGACAACACTATCCGGATCTTGTCTTTGGATCCAGATGATTGCATGCAGATTTTGAGCGTACAGAGTGTTTCTGCAGCTCCAGAATCTCTTCTCTTTCTTGAAGTCCAGGCATCAATTGGTGGGGAGGACGGTGCTGATCATCCTGCCAGTCTTTTCCTCAATGCTGGTTTAAGTAATGGAGTTCTGTTTAGGACAGTTGTTGACATGGTGACTGGTCAGCTTTCCGACTCTCGCTCTAGATTTTTAGGACTGAGAGCCCCAAAGCTCTTTTCTATTGTCATCAGAGGCAGGCGCGCTATGCTTTGCTTGTCTAGTCGTCCATGGCTAGGCTATATTCATCAGGGACATTTTCTTTTGACACCTCTTTCTTATGAGGCTCTTGAATATGCTGCTTCATTTTCATCTGACCAATGTTCTGAAGGTGTGGTTGCTGTAGCTGGGGATGCATTGAGGGTTTTCACTATTGAGAGGTTGGGAGAAACATTTAATGAGACTGCAATTCCTTTGAGGTACACACCTAGAAAGTTTGTTTTTCATAAAAGGAAGTCCCTGATAATCATTGAAAGCGATCAGGGGGCATTCACTGCAGAAGAGCGTGAAGCCGGGAAAAAGGAATTCTTTGAGGCTGCTGGCATGGGTGAAAATGGAAATAATAACGTTGAACAGATGGAGAATGGTGGTGATGATGAGGACAAGAATGATCCTCTGTCTGATGAACAGTATGGTTATCCAAAGGCAGAGTCTGACAAGTGGGTTTCTTGCATCAGAGTACTTGACCCAAAGACATCAAACACAACCTGTCTTTTGGAACTTCAGGACAATGAAGCTGCATATAGTGTATGCACCGTGAACTTCCGTGAGAAAGAGCATGGAACATTGTTGGCTGTCGGTACAGCAAAAGGATTGCAGTTCTGGCCAAAAAGAAGTTTGGCTTCTGGATTCATTCATATTTATAGGTTTGTGGATGATGGGAGAGCCCTTGAACTTTTGCACAAGACGCAAGTTGAAGGAGTTCCTCTAGCTTTATGTCAGTTCCAGGGAAGGTTACTTGCCGGGATAGGCCCAGTCCTGAGGCTCTATGATTTGGGAAAGAGAAGATTGCTTAGAAAATGCGAGAATAAGCTGTTTCCCAACACAATTATGTCCATTCAAACCTACCGTGATCGAATTTACGTGGGAGATATACAAGAGGTATGTCTTACAGAAAATTATGCCGATCTTCCTTTAATTAAAAAGAAGTATGATCTCCATATAGTTTGCATATGTATGTAATATATTCTTCCAGACTGATTTTCCTGCGATTGAAATTTTATCTTGTCCATAAATTCTTCTCATAGCCGTTCTTATTGTTTGGAAATGTCCGTATGACATGTTTTGTGGTGTGGGTTGTCATCTTAGAGAATTTTCCCATCTCTCACATCTGAATATATGTTTGGCTCTTCATTTTCGCAGTCTTTCCATTATTGCAAGTACCGACGAGATGAGAACCAACTATATGTATTTGCCGATGATTCCGTACCAAGATGGGTTACGGCAGCACACCACATTGATTTTGACACTATGGCAGGAGCAGACAAATTTGGCAATGTTTATTTTGTCCGTTTACCCCAGGATGTCTCTGATGAGATTGAAGAAGATCCAACCGGTGGGAAGATAAAATGGGAACAGGGGAAGTTGAATGGAGCGCCAAATAAAGTAGAGGAGATAGTGCAGTTTCATGTTGGTGATGTGGTTACTTGCTTGCAGAAGGCATCTCTGATTCCTGGTGGTGGAGATTCTGTCATCTACGGGACAGTAATGGGGAGCTTAGGAGCGTTACTTCCATTTACATCCCGTGATGATGTTGATTTCTTCTCGCACTTGGAGATGCATTTGAGGCAGGAATTCCCCCCCTTGTGCGGCAGAGATCACATGGCTTACAGATCTGCTTATTTTCCCGTTAAGGTGAGTGCTGCTACCTATTCTTGCAATTAGTGGTCCTTATATAAATGTCCTTCTATATATTTTTAATTTAGTTTTGTTTGTATGCATTAATCTTTTATTGTAATAATGTAAAATTATAGGTAAATCATTATTATTATTACATGTAATACAATATGGAAAAGTAATACTTCATGATGATAGAAGTACTGGGATTAAATTATCACGTTTCTCGAAAAAGTTGGAATTTTCATTTTGGAATGGGCAAAATTAAAAATTTAGTGTGATATATCAACACATAGTCTAATAGGAATGCATAACATGAGAAGACATGAATTTTGAATACGCAACATGTGTTACATTTTTATCTTTGATCAGTAGATTTCAACAAACTCAGTCAATATTAAAGAAAAATATGATATTAAAAGAATCTTTTTGCTGAAAAAAGAATTACACAGAGAATTCAATTTTTCTGCAGCAATGTGCGGCCCAGTTCTAGTATACATTATATAAATTTTCTTCTTATTTTTTTACCGTTTGAAAGGTTTATCTGGAAAATGGCTGCGGTTGTGATTTTAAACTTTCTCAATCCTCTCTCTCTTCATGAGACTGAACTCCATTGTCTTGCCAATCATTGAACAACTTTTCCATCAATATGGCAAATTGATTTTATTGATTCATCTGGTGGTATTTGCTGAGTGGCCCAAGTATTCGCGTGTGAGGCGAAGTTGGGTGAGTTTACAAACTCGGGCCTAAAACGTCTGAGCATGCAAAAGAAGTTTTTATATTACGATTGAGAAAGAGAAGACCCTAATTACCAGACGACTCATCATGCCATTCCCATGTTCAAGTTTCGGACCCTTTTGAGGCAATTCCATGTCTTTGTTTTCTAAATTCGGCATGTCAGACATATATATCTTTATCCGATGCTTGTATCCAATCCAAAGTAACACTGTAGGTTTACTGCTAAATGTGTAGATGTCATATGAAGAAGCTTTGTCATGTTATTGTGATTATGATATCTACTTGTGCTGACTGATATTATTTTATTGGGATGGTTTCTAAATTGTATAGATATTGTGATCAGATTCTATGGTTGTGAGCTTTACTATTTGATGTGGACTGCTGCTAAAGATTGAGCTCCTTTTTCAGGACGTGATCGATGGTGATTTATGCGAGCAGTTTCCAACCCTGCCTATGGATATGCAAAGAAAAATAGCTGATGAATTGGATAGAACACCAGCAGAGATCCTAAAGAAATTGGAAGAAGTGAGAAACAAGATCATATGAAAAATGGGGATAGTCAGCTTGCAGGTGCATCCTCATCCTGCTATATCTATGTATTGTTCGCGTGTGGACATGTTTATTCAACTCGTAACTGTTTGTCTTCGTCCTCTTTTGCACAACTTGCTGCCACCAGCCTGTTTGTTTTGTCCTCTTCTTTGTACAACTGCCTTCTCCCGGACTGCATATTTAAGATATGAGAAGCAAAGATTTTGGTTTTCAGGATGTGTGAAAGCTTATGCTATTATGGCATGCTCCCTGCTGTTGGGATTTTAGAACTCTTTTTTGTTGATTACGTTACCCAGGCCCTGAGTTCCTGCCCTAACAGACTTTCTTTTGCTTGCGGCTCTTTTGGAAGTGTTTTCCTTGTGCTGGATTCCATTGACCAATGATGCTAATGAGTAGCATCAACGTTGTATGCTCAGGTCACCATTCTAGGTCCTTCCACATGGATTGGCTTGTGTGATGGTGATGTTACGCCTGGATGCGACAGGTATGGAATTGGCTTTTGGTGTCAAGGATGCTGCAGCAACGAGGGGGTATGAATGGTCAAATTGCTCGGAGAGTTTGAAGTTCCCTGTTCTTACATCTCTCGTTGCAGTTAAATGGGTAGTTAGGGATCTGAATTTGCTTCTGATGTAGTACTTCTCTCACTCTTTCCCTTCTCTGTGTGTAGCAATATTTTTAACCTCTGGCTTAGGTTCCCTTCTCGCAAAAAGATGCTTGTATCTTGAGTCGACATGAAGTTATAACTGGCAAGGCTCCTTTTGTTAAGCTTTTGTAAGAGATCCAGAAATGAAATCCGAATCCTGTAGACGAAACAGCTAAATCTAGATGTGCGATTCATCTTCACTTTTTCTTTCAAGCATTCGAACGAACTGTGTCCATCTTAACTCGAGCATCTTTGTTAACAAGTCGATGATGTGAAAGGATTGTTATTTTCCCGCGTTTTCCTTATGATTTCTTTGGTTGTGTTCTTTCACTGCTCGATTGGCTATCTCGCAGATGTTCTCAGAGAGTTATGATCCAGGACATTGTTCTTCCCTTTGAATACTAAATCTGTACAGCAAGCAAATTGCCCGGACTATTTACGTATAAAACATAAAGTAAATACAATTCGGAATAAAAACTACACACTGTGATCACTCAAATATCTCTATCGCTTGAACCCAACCATGTCGGACAAGGATGAGCAAAGAACTCTGTGTTTTCTCTCTTCATGTATAATCAATCAAGTAGTTTTCCTCTCTCTTCCCCCATTATTTGGCCTTCGCGGCGCCATCGTCCTCTGCACTTTTCTGCTCTCTCTCTATCCTCGAGCTTCCGATAGCAGTCCGCTCGTTGAGCCAGCCGATGATGTCGGCGAACACGATGTCGATGTTGCTGGACGGCTCTCCGTAGAGCAGGCCGTGCCACATCCCGGGGTACAACTTGAACGTCTTGTCCTCGCTCGAAGCGACCTCGTACAGGAGCTGGCTGACCGCCTTGTCCGTCACTCTGTCCTCTCCTCCGTGCAGGACTAGGAACGGCAACGAAACCTGCTCATAATCATCAGAAGAAACCAGTGAGCAAAAACGCTTCTCTCTCCTAAAAAAATCCAGGAAGTACACGATGAAGTTGCTGAGAAAGATGTACCTCGTCGAGCCGCTTCTCTAAGTCCATACTGACCGTCATTAGTTCATGCCCTGTTATCAAGCGTGGCCGTCCCTTGTAGCAATACGGGTTTGCTCTTATCTGAGAATAAATTTCCCTAAGGAATATTAATATCACTTCATAATATCCGGGACCATTTAATTCTTGGAATATAACAGGGGATTTTCTTCCTCTTTTTTTTAAAACCATTTTCTTTTTGGAAAAGGAAAGCAGAAATTTGGAGCGATGGATATGTACCTGTTCCCTGATCTCGGGCTGTTTGAATGCGAGGTCGATTATGTCCATGGTCGGGATTATTTTCCAGGTTGGGATGATTCTGCACAGTTTGGTTAGGACTGTGATCACCAGGGGATGAGGTCTCATGTCATCTGCAATCTGAAACGCCCCAAAAAGAAACAAATTTTTTTAGTAAAATTTTCTCGATATCTAGATAGCCCTCCTGCGTTCAATTTCGAATAAATAGATGAAAATAGTCGAGACATCCAATTGAGGCTCGGTTTGTTTCGATGAAAATGATTTAATGTAAAGTCTAATAATGCTCCTTCTAGATCCATAGCTTTCTTGGATGCCCTTCAAATCTTGCAAGATCTTTTTAATTTATGGGGGCTTAACTAATCAAGCAAGTCCCTCTCAGCCATTTACGTTATTTGATTATCTTATCCCAGGAGTTGACTTTTCCTGGGTGATGGTGAAAGAAAGCGTGAGGAATGACATGTTTTCTTTGAGATGGAAGCTTCAAGGCTCAGGAAGAGTCAAATGTTGGGACTCTTTCTCTGATCCATCAACATGTTAGTTAGCCCTGGCCTATGCCCTGAAAGAGACACCTCAACGACACAAAGCTGGAAAACCTAATCTGCTTTCGTTCTGGCTTAACGCTGTCCGTGAGCCTTTTAAGTACCTAATAAGCACAACTTTATCATCTTCTGATCTCATCTAAGTTCTAAATTGGGATTTTTTGCACGGTAGCCCTCGCCCTTGTCGGTTCAAATGGTCGAGTTTGTTAACAAAGTAAAGGACAGGCATGTCAAGAAGTCGCACATATATGTGTTTTTTTAACCCCTTGCAAGAGCACCGTCCTCGAACCGGTCAACCAACCCCACAAAGCCCAGACAAAAGAAATTCATCGTCTTTTGTCAGCACTTGTGTTTTTTCTTTTGTTACAACTGGAGTTCCTAAAGAATTTACAAGCTAATCGGTTTCGTTGTTCATCTCATACGTTACAAGTTCTACCGATGTTGATACCAAAAGCTGGGAGTCACTATGATTGGTATTTATCTGAATTGGAACAGCAAAAGATACAGAAGAAAAGTCAAAAGAAACGAGAAGAGAGACTGCAAATGCCTTGGATCCACCTTGGACCCGCCCGGTTTTTCTACCAAAAAGGACCGAGGACTCGACAAGAGACCAAGAAAAGGTTTGGACATGCGCAATATACCGGAGGACAAAAAACAAAAACAGATATAAAGAAAGAAGAAAGGAAAGTAAAACTTTGAAGAAAGAAGCAGAGAAATCAGAGGCACACCTTACACATGGGGGCGACCAAGATAGCACCGTCCCAGAAGTCCGGCTTCTTCCTGGGTAAGAGGAGGGCCATCGCTCCTCCCATCGACTCTCCCAGCAGATACCTCATCTTCCCCTTATTCTCTCTCCTCTCTGCAAATCATAACACGAGATCGAAAAAAGTCAACCCCGGAAAAGTCGAAGAATAAATGAATCATGAATGCAGAATTTCGAATTTACTTTCATGAGAGAGGAAGGAAGAGGGAAGAAAAGAAACTAACCGCAGATGTTGGTGAAGTGCTTGGAGCAGTCTTCGACCACGTCGTCGAAGCTGTTGACCAGCCCCGGCATCCCGCCCGACTTCCCGTGGCCTTCGTAGTCGATCCCGTACACCGCGAAGCCCGCCTTCGCCAGCCGGATCGCCGTGTCTGAATATCGACCAATTCATTTATTCGTCCGATTCATTCTACCAGTGCCAAATATGAACAGACAGATAGCGAAGATTAATAAGAAGATATGCTCACTGTTCATGGTGATGCTGCATTCCATGGCGTAACCGTGGCAGATGAAGATCAAAGCCTTCGCTTCCCCGCTCGGAACCCATCTGCAGGTGAAAAGCTTCAACCCTCTAGAATTCAGCACATACTCCTGTAGATAAAAAAAAAACATAAAGCACAACAGCCTCTCTAGCCAATCGTACGAGAACAAAACATAATCCACGCAAGAAATTCTGATGGAAAGAAAATTCAGGAGGTGGGGTTTGGCTGACCTCTTCATAGCTGATGTCTCCGGCTTGATTCGCCTGAATTCAGATGAAAACAAACGTCAGATAACAGAAGACCCCAAAGAGCACCGGGAGAAGGACGAGAACCGAAGGAGTTGATAAGGAAGGCGATCTCACCATGCAGCCGAGCAACCCCAGAAACTCCTGAGAAATCAACAACCTGAGGTGCGGAGAGGATCTTGGAAAGAAAGAGTTCAGGCGAAGAGCTAGAGAGGGAGGGAGAGGAGAGGAGAGGCCAGAAAGAGAATGACACGGATGTAACAGAAAGGGAGAGGAAATAGGAAGTCAGGATAGAAAACAATATCCTGATCCTGATCTGAACGAGAGAGAAAAGCTACGCAGGCCGCAGAAAGAGAAACTTCTTTTGCATGGGAGACTCTTCATCTTCACGCTTCTTCTTATATACGCATATTCACAGCACCAGGCAAGTAGGCACGCCCTACCTCAATATAATTAGTAAGGAGAAAATCTAATAAAAAAACAAAGACGCGCCCTTTGAATTGGTCATGAAAGGATATAAGTTACGTAGCTTTTCTTCGTGAATTAGCATAAATCGAATAAGCCTAAAGAAAAATTAAATAGATTTTTTTTTTAAGGGAATGGAGAGGAGGAAAAGATTATGAAAGAGGGGGTTCGATGCCTCAAGAATCCCAAGATTTTTGGTTCGCGATTTTCTTGATTTGCTAGGTGATACACGCGCTACGCGCATGTTCGGGGTTGTTGGGGGGAACGAATTTGTTTGATAATTGAGGCAAGTCAATTTTTTTTTAGGGAAAAAAAGGGAAACGAAATTATCTCCGGGGGGGGAGATATTTGTAAGTCCGACCATATCGAGACCTCTTTTTATGCACAAGATCACATAATAGATGTTCGAGTTTACAAAGCGAAGGGATAAGATTGTCTTTTGAACTCGTAAAATAATCCATGAGACTGTATAAGATTTCAATTTGGATCTCAATCTTTTTGCTAGGAAAACATATATAGAAGATTCTATTGGCTTTTTTTTTCCCATGAGGTCATTGCACCCTTTTTTCGGGTGCCCAACTTGCAGTAGCGGAGTTTCCACCCATTTGGGATTCATGAGAGGAAATTATTAGGCAATCGGGTCAACGGGTTGAAACTGTCCACATTGGCGGGCTCGGGTTCGGGTCACTCTCGGGGGGCCTTCGTGGGTCCCCACGTGGCCAACCGGTCATTTATTGAGTTCAAATTTGCCGGATCAAATCTCTCCCAAAATTAAAAAAGACCCACCAAGTCTTTGATTAAAAATAAAGAAAGATCATTAATTATGACGTGATTAATTAATCATGATCCCCAAAAAAAATCAGTCCACGCTCGATGGTGTCCCTTATTTCCCGTTTCACGTGAAAATTGTCCTATCAGACGTCAATTCAGTCCGACCAATTTCAATCATGTCAATGTGGTCTTAAATTTTTGATCGAAATTTAAATGTAGGTTCTTTTTGTTTTGAGAAAAAATAAATGATTTCAAGAATATTTTTTCTAAAAATGATTGTTCGTATCGTTTGAAATAATTAGTTAATGAAAAATATTTTCATTATTTACAACTATTTATGTCTAAACATTTTCGTAATCAATGAAATTTTTTTTCGTTTATTTATTTTTGTGAGCGATAAAATGTTTTCCAAATCACTCATTTTCCGAAAAACAAACAAAGCCATAATCCTTCCAACCAATTTCTCCGAAAAGCGCTGATGAGCCACGTCGGCTGGTCGGCGATGATTAGATTCCTACTTTAGCGATTTCGTGCGAGAATTGGCCGAAATGATTTTATTGAAGTTTCACACAAAGGTGTAGGACCAATGGTGCGCTTATTTTTGCGAAAAAAAAAAGATTTGGAAAACGTTTTTCGAAAAATGATCACTTCAATCGCTTACAAAAATTAATGAACAAGAAATATTTTCTATCGTCTACGAAATATTATTTATTAACAAGATTGAAAAATTTATAACCGATTGGCATCCGTCCAGAAATTTTAGGACCGATTAGATGATTTTCCCCATTTTCATTATTTGCAATTCCGTAATCATGAATTTTCGTCAACAAACTATTTCTTTAATCACTTTGTTATGCAACTTGATGAAAAGACTTGCCGTTAGGTGATGCATTATTTTGCTCATTATTACGTGTAATCATCAGTGCCTTGAAACTTGAAGCGCGAAGGTATTTTATTGAGATCCGAGTGACGTGCCACTTCGGGTGCAACCCCAGCCGATGGGAGCCGGCAATTGCGCGATTGATCGTGATCCTTCTTTTTCTTCTGTTTTCCATGTTTTTTACCTTCGTTTTTTTGTCATCAATCACGTGCTGGGGGAAACACGCGCGTGGGATCCACTGAACAGTGAACAGCAGCAGTACATGAACGCCCTGTTAAGCTCGGGTCAAACGCAACGCGCAAGGGGGGCGGTTGGGTGGACGGCAGCTTTGACACGGGACCGGGGGGGATAGTGATGTAAGAACCGAAAAGAAGATTGAAGTTTAGCAGCAGGATTGTGATTTCCAGACATGATCTTTGCTAGAGCCTACTTGAAAGAGTGAAGATATGTCGCGTTGTTCCTTATCGCACGTTCCGAGAGAGAGAGAGAGTTGAGTGAGAGTGAGAGTGAGATTGAGAGGCGCACCGACCGTGTGGATGTGATAGTGATGGAGACCCGGTGTGAGCTCTAGCAGCGATAGACACAAGAGAGAGAGAGAGAGAGAGAGGTGACACGATAAATTGATATGTGATGGATGTGGGGACGCAACGGTGCACAAGATCACCCGAGGTACATAAGTTGAGATGTGCGAAAGCTGGCCCATACACCACCTGGCCACTAAAACAGAATAATGTTTTACATAAGAAGCAGTGGTGCTCATATGGTGTTATCTATGTTGCCGTCGGTTTATTAACTTATGTAGTACAAATATTGATGCGGTTCAATTCAATTAAAACTTCAAAAGGACAAATAAAAAGTTAAAAGAAAGAAAGAAAGAAAATGTCAAGTCCGTGATCTTCACTTGTAGGAATTTGGGTTTAGCAATTAGGTGGTATTAAAACTAATTTCGGGCATTCCGAATAGTACATCAATCTAAACGATCTTATGAGCGCACTCCCTACTTTGTTCTAATGCATTTAGGATTTTATATTTGGAGTGCTCCAAAGAACACTTCAACCATGCAGGAATGTTAAAAGCATCAACATCTGTCGGTGCTTATCTGGTAATCCATGTCACTCGTCACATGGCCGGGCATTGTCTTTTTCCCCGTCTCGTCTTTCTCAATCCTCCGAGGGCAAAGACCCACGCATAAAACGCGATACACATGACAAAGCCCACATTGAACGAGAGACACTACAAGGGTTGTCACTTGTCACAGCTCCTGCGGACCATTACATTGGAGCTTAGCACAGTCCATTTGATGACATTGTTGGCCTGGACCGTCTTGTATTCTGTCCCTACTGATAAATGACAATTCGGCCAGCATTTCCGCATGAGGAGGCTCAAAAGTTGAGAGACCCTTTGTCTTTTGCTTCGTTTCACTGTGCTGGAGAGCATTCTGGACCAAGGACAAATGCAGAACGTATTATTATTGTTGTAGTCACGTTGACGAGATCTTTCTCCCGATCACTGGAGTACAGACACTCCATGAGTGTTCTCATTTGAGCCGAAGGGATTGCGTTGGTGATTCTGTTTGCAATAATGTTATCGATGCTCTTTCTAACGTAAAACATTCCTTCTCATTTGAATGATTCTCTGCTTGTTTTAGTTCCCAAGTGCCGGGCAGCCGAGACCATTCGACAAGATGGACCGATTAGCCTGTGTAAGACTCTGTATGAAGTGATCACGGGAGAATCCGGTTACTAGGCTCAGACCTTTTATCCCCCAGGAGAAGAGCTCAAGATAATGTCGTCATTGTTAAGGAATTCATTCACATGATGCAGAATAATAAAAGCTTTTAAAGGCTGTCTTGCAGTAAAGATCGATCTTGAAAAAGCTTATGATGGGCTTGAATGAGATTTCATCAAGAGAACCCCGGCTTCTTTTAAATTCCGTGACAAATGGGTTGACTTGATAATAAAGTCTATCACTGTTTAACTTTTTTTTCTGAATGGTGGTACGACCTAGGGGTGTGCAAGGAATCGGAAATTGCCTAGACCGTCCGGAACAGGACTAGCCCAAAACCGGCGGTTCCTTTGGGGACCTATCCGGTTTCTGGTTCCAATTTATTAGAACCGGTAAGTATTGGTCCGGTTCCCGGTTCCAAATGTGAAACCGCTCATCCGCCTATCCGGACCAGACTGGTGTGTATATATATATTTTAAAAAATATTTTGGGATTGGGGATGATATATTCAAGTGTGCACGACTGTTGTGTGAAGATGGTGGGTCTGTAAAGAAGAGAAGCGAGAGAGAGAGGGGAAAGGGCTTGGTTTTCTAAACAATTGAGGCCAACCCCATATTTTTTTCTAATCCAGTCCGCCTCTACGACTCTTATATGGCAATCCATGTTTGTATGCAAATTCCATCTTGTGATACATACGAACTCGAAGACTCTCTCTCTCTCTCTCTCTCTCTCTCTCTCTCTCTCTCTCTCTCTCTCTTCGTCTTCTGTGAGAGATTCTTGAAGCTGGTCGTTGTCTACAAAGCTTGCAGATGGGGTGGGGCCCAATCACCCAATACGTTCATTTGTTCATCAGTCGAACTTGAGGACCATAATATTAATTGATAAATGCAATTTTATAGGGATTATGGACCGGTTCCATGGATCCATCCGGTAACTGGACCGGACTGACAGTTGAGTTCTCGGGTGGGTCCATGGAACCAACGGGCGGTTCCTAGTTCCAATTTTTCGGAACCGGTCCTTAGTGAGCGGTTCTTGGTTCTAGGATGGGAACTGCCTATCCGAACCATGCTTACCCCTAGTATGACCAATCCTTTTGAACTTAGTCATGGTATTAAACAAGGTGATCGCTTGTCACCTTATCTGTTTATTCTATGTATGTTTTGAGTTAAATGAGTGAAAAAGCTTGCCTTAGTGAGGATTGGAAACCGGTTAATTTTTTTTTATTATCCCCGAAAATGATTAGATATAAACTGTTATGATAATGAAAATTTATTTCATTAGCTAATTATTTCAAGCAATAGAATCGATCATTTTTTGGAAAATATTTTCCAAATTATTCATTTTCTGAGAAACAAACGGAGCCTTAAATCTCTTTTGTGATGCCTTGGGTCGAAAGGAAAACTCCGAGAAATCTAAGTTATTCTTCTGTAATAGCTTGACTGCCGAAGATTGTAATAGGAACCTTGGGGATTAGTTCTACCAACAATTTCTGTAAATATCTAGGCTTCTGGTTGCATACTAGGAGGGTCAACTCGAGGGAGT